ATTCCATTTCTGCCAATATATACCTCTAAATCCTACACACTGGACCTTAAAGATGAATAAAGTCTTTCAAGCTTCTCTTGGATCAGCTGGAAAATGCATCAACACAAACTGCATCTTTTTAGAGATTTGTGGTTCTCACAGGATAGTGACACTACAAACATATAGTGATCTTATGGAGAATGATGCATTGCTGTAGATTAGACTACCAGTTAAAATGAACACAAATTTAAACATCTACAGCAGTAAAATGCAACATGACACATTAATGCAGCAGTAATATTCATCCATAAATGTTTTATAATTGGAAAACACTGACAGGGACCATTTTACTGCACAGTGAGTGCTTTTACTTTTGAAACTTTAAGTACATCTGCTGATAGTACTTACATACTTTTACTTTAGTAAGGTTTTGAATACAGGACTTTTACTTGTAATGGAGTATTTCCACAGTGTGATATTGGTACTTTTAGTTACATAAAGGCTCTGAATACTTCTTCTACTACACCACTGATTTTCTTTTCCACCTTCTTTCATGTGTAGAGCGAGGAGCATTGAGTTTATTTTCCCTTCCCTCTTCTTTTCTCCATAATAAGGGGTAAACAGTCCCTAAAAGAGTTCAGTATGAAAACCTCAGGCCCCTCTCCTCTTTCCCATACTTAGATAGCTCAACACACAGGCATCCAGGAAGTGTCAGGGCTCGTTCTGCCAAAAAAGACTCCATTATGGGACGATACACTGGAGCCAAGGCTGGAGGGAGGAGGAAGAGAAGGAGGAGTGGACGAGGAGAAAAGAGCAGAGTGAAAGCAAAGAAAGAAAATTTAAGTGAGGGTTAGAGGAGGGAGGGAGTGTAAGGAGAGACGGAGAGGGAGAGAGAGTGGGGTAACATTTTCCATTTCCCCTTCCCATCATCCCCCTGTCAAGACACCAACCACTACCCGTTAAAGCTAATTCCTTCTCTGTGCAAAGGAATAGAAGGGGAAAATGGAGGAGGGCTGTGTACTATTGACCCAGCTGACTGTGTTGAAATGGGCTGAAGGTAGTGGAAAAACCTTCATTTCACTTGGGGGACAGCAGCCCCGTGAAATGTGGCTCTGGTTTCACACTCCACGTTGGTTGCACGATCAAATTTAAGGACATTTCAGACAAGACAAACTGGGTTAGACTCACTGTTCTGAATCGGTGCCTCGAATAACTATTATATAACCGTTTCTGCTGACTTTAGTTTCGTAAAAGACGTCATAACGGGCAGAAGGAGCAGATTTAATGTCTTTTTCTTTGTTCCTTTTTATAGACTATGACTACTCTCAGTATATCATTCAATATTTAACTCATAATTTATGACTTTCATGCTATTTTGTTACATTTGTTGGAGCAGAAGCTTCACTTGTATTACTTTATGTTGTATTTCTTTAGAGTACTTCTCAACTTAAATTAGAAAAGCTGCTCAAAAGTTGAGTTATTATTCATTTTTAATAGTAGGTGAGTGAAAGATGGAGGTGCAGCTCCTTCTGGTCTAGTAAACTGGTTTCTGGACTGAGGCTGACATTAATGACTCATTGCTGTGGATGCGGTAATGCTCCCTTGCTGTTTCCATTGGAAAGCTCTCTGAGTGTGATGGAGTGGTGTATGTGAAGATCAGCCACTTGACTAATGGCCCGTTGTCATTTCCTATTGTGTATGTCAAGGTTATTTGTGTGTGCACCTGAAGAGACGGGGAGGGAGAGAGAGAAAGTGGTGGAGGAGAAAAAGCAAATGAGAGCGAGTGAGTGAGGAAATGTCTGTGAGCGAGGGGAAAAGGCTGATTCATACCACTGGAACAGTCGTCGCCTCGCCAGCCTCCCTCACATTGGCAACGGTCTGGAGCGACACATCGACCGTGGACACACTCCTTGGTGCAGCGAGCTGTTGATGAGAAACAAACTTTAAAACAAACCCAGCTTTGTGGAGAATAGTCAAGTGGAAATATTCAGTATGCAGTAGATGACAGACAGTGGACAGTGGACAGACAAGTGGACTGAAGTCTGATGCACTAGATGCAAAAACAAGTGCAACTGTAAAAGAGTCTGAGAAAATGACCCTATTTCTCACTTAATTTATGATCTCACTAAACATTTTCCTCATGAGTTCATGGTCTCAGTCACTGTCTAAGTCTTCTTCAATACAGCATAGTGTTAATTTTGTAAATTATGGTCCCGTTTAGACTCAAACAGACGATAAAGCAGGGTATTCTTTTGGGGCGGGGCTACCTTCAAATTGACAAGTCACAACCATGGCAACCCATCAATCAGGATAGAGCATTGATGTATAAAGAGAACTGAATACAGCACTGGGGGCAAACAAACAAACAAACAAACAAACAAGATGGTAACAGCCAAAATGCCAAAATTGAGGCTCCATAATGGTTGTCCACAAATGGGTGGTGTCACAGAGGCTACACCCACTTCTTTTATACAGTCTATGGATGTACCCCCACGGCCGATACTATGAGCCCAAGAACACCTTCATCAGCAACACCTGCTGTGGTCTGTCTGTGATATGAATCTGACTGGATGTTATTTAATTCACTAACAGTTATATTAAAGTGGATATTGTGAGACTAATTATTTTCCACACAAGACCCTGTGACACTAAAACTGTCTGTGTTTAGACTCGAACTCTTGTTTCATCCACAGTGTCACTTGACTCCCTCCTTTGCACCTGTCATGATTACCACAGCCACTAGAGGGCTTTGTCTCTTGAACATAAACATACAGTTGGTGCTTCTCAATGTCAAGGAAGGATCCTTAAACGACTGGATTTCAAGGCTACATCATCAAATCCAGCCAAAGGAATGTTTCGGTGTCAAAGATCCTTTGAATCCTACGGCAGACCGAGTCCTTCCTTAAGAGAATTTTCAAGGATGCATGTTTGTATCCTCAGCAGGCATGAAGTACCCACAATTCTTTGACCACGAGTTGCCTGAATTTAAGGCAGGGCCACTTCAGTGGTCTCAGAAGGACTCGGAAGGACTTCAGTGATGCACACCTGGGCACCCGCAAGCCTGTTCCGATGTGTGCTCTCCGAATGCTAGGAGGGAGTCCTAACTACGCTCAATGGGACCCAACTTGGAAGGCCGAGGACCCATCCTACCAAGGGAGCATCCTGGACTTTGAGAGTCACTGAGTATTAGTAGTATAGTATGAGTCATTTTGTGGCTAAATTGATTGATGCTGTTGTTCTTCTTTCAGTAGGTTTGGCCAGGTTTCCATGCCTAATGCTACCACTTAGTAGTATTAATGCTGTTAGTTATGTATTGTAATGTTTTGTTTGTGCGTTAACTAGTTTTCACATAATCTAAAATGCAGCATGTGGCCTTCAGCTTCAGGTTGCAACTGCCTAAAGTTGGTCAGAGGTGTGTCCTGTGCAACTTGACCTTAGCGTAGCTGGTATTTTATCTGTTATTGTGACAATAAACAAACTGAGTATCAGCCTTAAGGCAGATTTATACTTGAGCCTACACCATATCATACGCATGTGACCTACACTGTTGCAGTTACACCTTCAAAACACTAGACGGCGATGGGGTTTCTGTGAAGTGTTGTAAAGTTTAGTTGATCCAAAACACACATTAAATATGGCTCAATAGAGGAAATCTCAAACACAAGTACACAAATTAGCTTCATTATAACTCGCAGCGTTCACAGACAAAGCACTTATCTTTTGCTTGACACATTTTCCCCACAAATACAACATGCTAATATTTTTAGCACAAGGTAGCACCTATGGCATTTTACATTGTATAAATTAGCCTAGCAGTGAGCGGAGATTTCTTCTACTCATACAGTATAAAACCAGGGACAACAGCAACATTTAACAAAGATAAAGTTACAAAATTCAACTTTATTACAACTCACTAGGTTCACAGAAAAAACAACTGTCTTATACTAAACACATTTTCCAAACAAATACACAATGCTAACATTATTAGCACAGGTCTATGGCATTTAACAGTGTATGAATTAGCCTAGCGACGAGTAGAGATTCCCTCTGCTCATATGAAGCCAGGATAAATCACACACAAGACTTAAAATGCTATTTTTGTGGAGGCTTTATTGTCTTCACAATTTATTGTTTCGTTTTGTTTATCTGTGAAATTAAAGTAAATAAAAGCTTTGTTTACACTGAGGGAAATGGTTTCAGCTTACAGAAATAGACAGGAGGTCTGCGTCACCGCAATTACATGGATATACTACTGTATGTTTTGTTTTTAAACAAATCCTACTTTTTTATTTTATTTTTGATTTTTTTGATTTGCTTAGCGACTCTACAATTTTTCCATGTACACACTGGTATAGTTCCCCTGGCTGAGAATCACTGGTATAGGATAGGCCTATATAAAGCGATGTGTATTATCACAGATGTCTGACACTGACACTACTTAATGATAATTTTGATGTCACTTGTGCACATTTACTCTTTGTGCCCCCCACCCCCCCAAGGTAATAACTGTGTGTCCTATTTGTGAAGTGTATGTGTGTGTTATTTTTCAAATGTGAAGCACTTGAAGAGCGCTAAGAAGGACCATGTACCGTGTGTTAAATCCATTTCACAAGTGCACTTCAAGTGTTTTTATTTCAATTCAATTAAAAATCTATTCACCCAAATTGCATTCTTTCCCTCTAAATTTATTCTGCTCATCATAAACAGTGTGTGAGCACACAGCCCGACAGCTGGGCTCAGCCGTACAATCGAAAGCTCCAGTGTTAGATGCCATTCATACTGTCAAGGAGCCTCTTCTTAGAGAGTCAGTCTTTGAGCTGTGTTCTTGCAACATCAAAAATGGTTCTCTTTTAATTAAGTTAATTCAAATATGCATTTATGCATGAGGACTAATAATTCCACCAGAGATCTCTTCATTTTTCTTTCACTAGACAAGTGTTTTCCAGCCACATGCTGTATCATGCACATGGTGATTTTCTTTCAATAAACAATAATTTAACTGATTATTTTGTCCTCTCTAGTTGAAGGTGTGTGGATACTGGAGGCTGGAGATTTGGGGATCTAGGAAAAGGCCAACATGCCATTAAATGAAGGAGGTAAGTGTAATTGCATCTAATTATATGTATTTAGAAAATAAAACGCTGTACATGGTACACAAAGTGGGTTTAGGAGGAGTCATAGATGACACGTTGAAGGCAGGGATGTTTCAGTTATAAAGCTTTCAATCTTTGCTTCTCTGATGTCAGTCATTAGAATCAAAGGCTTTTGTGTTTGGCGACAAAAGAAAACTTCACACACAAACACACACACACACACACACATACACACGCACACAGTGTTTCATGAGACCGCTGCGAAAGGTGGCTCAACAATAAGCAACCAAAAACGCACATTATCTCTTCTGAGTGCAAAACATTTATCTCCAAAATGTCAGTTATTCAAGCACAAAACACAGAAACCGTGTTATTACCATCTGAGATCATCCAGTGATGTATGAGAAGGTTTGTAAAGCAAAGGTAGAATTTTCTCTAACCATGAGAGGCCGTGTATGGTTTCACTTTATTTACATAAGTCACTGCTGACTGTCAGCAATAACAGCGTGTCAGCAACTGTTGACAGCTGCATCAGTTTCAGACAACACTTAACTATCTGTTATTTTAACTACTGCACCCATAAATTGTGTGTGGTAATGGATAAAAAAAGTCTTTGGCAATAAAATGTTTCTCAGTACCCTCATTTCTAATATAATGTTTCCCAATGTGCATTGTGAAACACAGCTACCTTAAACTGACAATTAACTTCACAGGAAAGTCCTTAAAGTTAAGATTAGGATTGAGATTAAAGGTTTATGATTACTTAAGTTGCATAAAAAGCTCAGTTTGTTAGGAGGATATCATGGCAGCTGAGTCAAGAATTAAATCCATATGTAGGAATGTTTCTCCCTTTCAACATATTTAATTTATTTTTGAATCTGCAGAACATATTTAATCTAAAGGATAACATGTTGAAGGGTATTTATATTCACCACGGTCCCAAGATTTTAAAGAACAGGCAGGAAACATGAAATCAAACTAAACCAAAACTACTTAAATATCCACATCAAAACACCTCATATAACAAAAAGAACTGATGGGTTTATTCAAATTATATTAAAAACCTGTAACAGTACTTCATAAATAAATCTTGACCCGACGTCTGAAAGTCTCACATGTTTTGGACACATTTGATTTATGTAATAGAAGGCTTCCGCTTTGGCTGTATCATTTTCTCAAGGCGCATTACATAAAGGCACACAGGCCTTGGTTTAGTTTGCCCTCCGATGATATTATTCATATGATGCAGTTTTCTGTTTATCCCTCACTGAGCTGTGCAGGCAGCACTGCCCCACCTCTGAATTCATCAGTAACAGATGCGTAGTTGATGAAATAAAAGTTGCTGAAATGATTTGAAATCCGTGAACTGAAATGAAAATATGTAAAATTATGAAGAGGGTTTTTCACGGTGTCAGCAACACGCAGTTCAGTTTAAAATTCCAGTCAGTACAGCCAGTATCAGCACGAGGAGCCTCAGCGGGAAGAGAACCCATAATTGTGGTAATTCCAGTGTCATGTGTTACTCTCATTGATTGTGCACGTCGCATGGAAAAAAAACAAATACAGGATTTTGGCGTTGTGCTGGATTCATCCAACTTCAGGTTAGTTTATTTATTCAGGCTCATTTTAAATGACAGTAGCAGAGGAAACAAAGTGACTCAAATCTAGCTGTAATATATGTTGAATGCATTCGTGGATTTTGAGATAGCCTTTCATAATCCTGTTTATACACAATGTTAGTTTGTACTGTACTACTGATGCTGCACACCCATGGGTGGGACCAGGGGTGTAGCTATCATTGAGGACACTGAGGTCATGTCCTCACTTATTTTTCTGGGAATTTAGGCTTTTTAGCAACCAAGGAGAAGTATACAGTCTATAAATAAAAAGTAACACAGTGTGAACATCTCACAGACTGATCCAGGACTTCTTAGAATCTGATATAGTTTTTAGTTTTGGCTACTTTTAGGCCAGGAAAAAGATAAATCAAGATTTCTCTGCATGCACATAAGTGATTGCACTATTTGTCATTTTAATATTTGTTTTGTAAAGTGACTTTGTAACATCTGTTCAGGGACTACTCATGAAAAATAGCCTCTTCGCTAACACAGCAGTGTTTATTAATGTAAATTGTCCTATTATTTTGTCATTTCAATTTTTATTGATTTTCTTTAAAACAAATGAAAACAAAAACCAAAAGACAGTCTATTACAGCAACTAAAAATATTTCACAGATGCACCCATATGTACTTCAATGTCATGAGTCCTTAATGTATAGAAAAATGTATCCCAGACTTCAGGAAATTTCCCTGTTGTATTATTCATTCGAGCCAGTAAATATTTAAAGGAGGCAGTTTCTGTTCCAGTTCCTTTCTCTACTGCCTTAAAACAACTCTTGCTGCGGTAATGAAACCATTTATTAATATACAAAACTGAACCCTAGTGACATCTGGTAGCAAAAAAGTTTGTCCCGGAGAAGACGTAACTGATGGGTGTGCGGCAACGGCTGCGTAAATTGCCCTTGTTAAATACAGCAATAAATAAGCAAAGTAAGAATTAATCATTTTTCCATCAGAATTTAATTTTCTACACAGTGGAGGGGGCTTTGGAACAAAATCTAAATTTCATTTTCTGCCACCACTCATCCTCCCAAGTGAAGGCTTGAGCCTTTCCCAGCTGACACTGGGCGAGAGGTCGCCAGACTATCACAGGGCTGACACATAGAGACAAACAACCATTCACACTCACATTCACACCTACGGACATTTTAGAGTCACCAGTTAACCTTTGGACTGTGGGAGGAAACCGGAGTACCCAAAGAAAACCCACGCTGACAAGGGGAGAACATGCAAACTCCACACAGAAGGGCCACAGCCGGCCAGCAGGTCAGAACCTGGAGCTGTCTTGCTGTGAGGCAACAGTACTAACCACTGTATCACAGTGCCACTAAATCTGAATGCCTTATATATTTATTTTGGAAAAAATGAAATAATTATGATAAAATAATAATTAAAACATTACTCAATCTCATGACCTCAGAGTGTAGCTTTGGCTGGGACAAGACTTTTATTCAATGACAGCAACCCATTCCCCAAAATAATGTTGGCAGTGTATTTTATTTGTACACTATGTAGCAGATACCTCTAAACTTTACGTTTTATTTATGTTTCAACAACATTGTGGTTAAGGTGTGGTTAGGTTTAGGCACAAAAACCACTTGGCTATGGTTAGGAATAAAACATGTTTTGGTTCAAAATACTCGGTTTTGGCTGGAAACACAGCAATGTCTGTAAAAAAAACCCCAACTGATTTTCTTGGCATTATCCTGGCTAAAAAACACAGCAATAGGTCGCTAAAACACAACCAGTTTCGTTTTTTGTTGGTCTTGAACAGGGGTCTGCAGCTTGGCAACGTCTCGCCTATGTGTCACGCCATCCACCATTCCCTCCACCTCTAGATGACAAAGTCAGCTCATATACTACAACACTAAACGTTGATTTGATCTGTGTGAAACGTGGCATTGTAATGTATTCATGGTTTGCAGAAACGTACAGTGTCAGTATAGCCTTCTGGGCAGATGACACACACCTGAGTATCTTCGGTACCTGACCAAAAGACGATGTGGGCTCAGAGCATACTTTTTCTAATGTAATAAAATAGACATTTAAGGGGTGTTCCAGCCCTTGGGAGGCTGCAGGCCTGTGAATCAGTGTACTTGGGTGTTTTATTGTGGTGACGGTGTATAAAATCACACATCTCTGATCTCTGATGATCCCCTGCTGGCCGTGAATCTTGCCAAACCTTTCTCCTCCTCCTCCTCCTCCTCCTCCCCTGTTTCAGCTTTCCTACTGTCAGTCTCAGTGATAAAAACATGTACGTAGGCAAGTGTTAAAAGTTTTCCATAATTACTTACGGACACATTTGTCTCTGCTCTCGTAATAGCCTGGACAGCACTGGTATCTCTTGCGGTAGTCTGTCTTCACCGCCTGCCTGTAGGCCGTCTTGTAGGTGATCCTGAAAGCAAACACAGTCAGACAGGACATTTTGACCCTCCACTGACAGGAACAGGAAGTCACTGAAGTAGGAAATGAGTCATGGTGCTGCTGCTACCTGTGGCGCATGCATCTGTAGGAGGTGCGAGGGTCGGCGCAGGGCTCCTCCGTCACGTGGTCATAAGGATGGTAGTAGGACTCTTTCACTGAGGTGGTGAAGCTGAAAGTAGAAACATTTACAGTCAGAGAAAACATTTTGATAATCTGTTAATCCTTTATTCATTTTTTCAGCAAAACATTTGCAGGTTCCAGATTTTTCAGATGTGAGGCTTTGATGCTTTTCTTTGTCACATCTGATAGCAATTTGAATATATTTGGGTTTTGGACTGCTGGTTGGATAAAACAAGCAACTTCAAATCATCACCCTGACTTCTCAGACATTATTACGAGTATTTTTCAACTATTTTCTATTAAGTGATTGATTTAGCAGATTAATTAATCATGGAAATAACTGTAAATTTATTTATTTATTTCAATCCTCATTAACCGATATCAAGGTAGCAACTACTCTTACTGCAGTCCTGCATAATTCTATAAAACAAATATGGAATTAAAAGTCCAAGGCAAAGGGGAACAGAAGACAAAAAGAAATCAAACTACAGTAATAAATCAACAACAGTTAGAATAGTTATGACAATTACAGTAGATAAATCCTGATTATTTTTGCTGATCCCTGACTTTCCTCTAGCGCCACCACGAGGTTGACATTTGTAATTTTTGAGAGAAATATCTAAAAAACTATTGCAGGACTTGTCATGCACAGGCATTCACATCCCACTCAGGATGATCCTGAGACTTTCCATCTTTCCATCTAGAGCCATCATCATCGTCGTCATAATTTTAACTTGTCCAAAACTTTGGTTTCTGACCAAATACCTGAAAACATGATGATAGTCCCATCTGCCTCAGCTGGACTCTGCTAATTGGCAAGTTAGGATGGTGAACATGGTGAACTTATCTTCTAAACAAAAAGTTAATTTCCGCATCTATCTACAGAGTTTTTCTCATCGTAATTCATTTGGCTAACTGCTCGTT